CTCCTCCTCCTCCTCCTCCTCCTCTCCTCCTCATCCTCATCCTCATCCTCATCCTCATCCTCCTCCTACTCCTCCTCCTCATCATCATCATCATCATCCCTCTCTTCCTCCTCCTGACGAGTTCTTCTCGCTGTTGACGATGGTGGTTTTCACTGATTGTGTCAACTATGATGTCGGCAAAACATCTTGTAATGTAGTGAGTTCATGGTCGGATGCTGGAAAAATTTATGTCCCCAAAAGCAGATAACACAGTACGGAATATGTTATTCTAAATCGCCTTGAGGACACAATTAATGTATGTAAACTAGGCCAGACTAACATTCTACAGGCAAAAGTGTTTTGCAGCCGCACTAAATCTCGTAACATTCCGGCCTTCATGTCTACTATCCAAGTTAAGTTGGCATCTCAGTCTAATAGCCTAACCGATATAATGGACATGGAAGGGATATACCTTCCTGTAGTGTATTGTGGAGGTCAGGATATACCTTCCTGTATTGTATTGTGGAGATCATAGTCTGAATTGGGTGACTTAGGGTACCGCAACAACTCATAATAGACCACTTAAAAGACAAGTGTAGCGAAAGCGATTAACATTTTTGCCGCCTTCGAGGCTGAGGCCTGTACCTTTGGCGTATAGTCAGGCCAACTTGCTGTCTCCAGGTCAAGAGTTCGCTAAATGTGCCTTATGAAAAGACGAGCCTTGCCTTGCTTGTAAAAAGATAGCAAAGACAGTTTTATCGAGAAGCTTTAGTTCCGTCAGTCAAAGCCATCTTTTCTATTTAATAAGTATGCTTTCGAGACTACCAGTAGATCGTTTAAGGTCAAGAAACTATGATATATTTTTTCACAATCACACAAATAGGCCTCATGTTTTCGATGAATTTCACTTAGCCCTGACTCCCAAAAGTTACCCTCATCCATGCTGGAGTGGACGGCAGTTTCGACTCCACCCAGGCCTCATTAGCACCCCCAGCGGGGTTCGAAACAACTGCCACAAGTGCCCTTGGGTCTCAGGGTGGATCTGACTTTCAAGGAAGACTAGGCTGAGATTTTTTTCAAGTAAGCAAAAATCTTGTTCACCCTTTTCCTCTTGCAACCCGCGTTCGAGGGGATCGAGACGAATAAACTATAAAAGGAAATCTAAACTATTTGACTCTGACCGCTCAACTCTACTTCATATGGGGTGAATTCATCCCAATTTGTTTAAGGTAATAAGAGGAGAAGTAGTTGAATTTTCTAATAATCATTTAATTCCACATAGCCTTGCTTTCCCAAAAGGTATTTTCATCGAGGCTGGTCTAGACCGCAGTCTCATCAGCAGCCCCAGCGGGACTCTAACCATGAAAGTGCAGAGCATAATTTCCACACGTTTACCACTACGCCACAATGCCACGAGTATCTTAGGGTCAAAGGGCAGATGTGAATTTCAAGCAAGGCCAGGCATTTTCCCATATCACATTATGTGGTGGGATTGTCGATAAAGCAAGGTTGTATTTGCTATAGCAATCGACTACATTACCTACTTATAAAAGAAAATAAAGTAGTGTTGATTCGACCTTGTTTTCGCAACTTGATCGGAGCGTCAGGGAGACCTCGTGAAATGTACCTAGTCACATGTCCTCTGCCATAATATTCGTGATTTCCAGCATTGGACAATTGACTGGTATTACAATGACAGAGGACACGGGACTAGGTACGTTCCACAAAGTCGTCCTGACGATCCGAACAGGTTGCAAAAACAAGGTCGAACCAACACTATAGAGCCACAGGAGACTGCGACCAAACAGTCTTCGTATCTACAAAAAATAAGTAATTTAATCGAAGGTAGGAAGACCAAATGGTGTGGCCTTTTGTGTGGTCACAGTCTCCTTTCGTTGTAGAGAAGTTGTTTGACCTTGTTTTCGTAACTTGGTCTTATTGGTAGGAAGACTTAGAGGAACGAACCTTGTCCTGCGTCCATTGTATGCATCATCATTTCCAGAGTAGGACCATGGATGTGGTACATTCCCAGACTTTTCGCCGGCATCGTAGTCGGCATCGTCTGTGATGCCGGCGAAACGTCTGGGAATATACCACGTCCACGGTCCTACTCTGGAAATGATGATGCATAAAATGGACTCCGGACAAGGTGCGTTCCTCTAAGACTTCCTGCCAACATGACCGAGTTGGGAAAACAAGGTCAAACAACTTCGATAAGTAATTTGGTCTATTTACGTGTCGAGATTATACGCTTAACAGTCACGGTTCCAGTGCTGCTGGGGGTGTTGATGAGATCAGAGCGACGTCCAGTCCGGCCAGGATGAGAATGCCTTTCTGGATTACAGGGTTATGTGAACTTCAATGAAAAGGTAAGGTCTATTCATGGGATTGTGGGAGAATTTAACTACCTTAAATGAAATAGAGTGAATACGCTTAGTTTAAAGTATCTACCCTTCTTATAAACGAAAAAAAGGAGATGTGTAGAAAAATTGGTTTTCGAAGAATGCCTTAGTGATATATTGTGACATGACCTTCCATTTCGAAGGTAAAGTTGGTTGGAATGTGGTCTCATCGGATGGGATGCCTCATTAAGATAGATTATTCATATGCATAAAGAACGACTATGATTGCAGCCGGCCACCTTTTCTCTGTGTTTAGTGCATTATTTGCTCTATTTCGTGGAGTATGGATTTCTGCTGTGATGATGTCGGTACAGTTTCATTGGGGTCGCAGGATGGTAAGTCGCGTGTCCAGTGCGACCACATCACGAATTCGTTGCAACCAACTTTTCCCTCGAAATGGAAAGTCATATCACGAAAAAAGGTTGACTTTGACTTTATGCGGCCTGAAAGTGACGGCTTCCAGTTCGACCAATGCAGGCCAGCCATCGAGCCCACTTGGCCGGTACAGGCCAGCCGAGACGGAACAGGGTACCGATGTCATGTGCGTCGCAACTTCACGATAGGCGGGGAGTCGGACCAGTGGCGCTGAGGTAGCGCTAGCGTAATTTCCCACTAATCGACTGGCAAGCCCCAGACTTTTGCTGTTGCCCACGCCCGACATCTCCCCCGATGGGGCATTTCTAAAGTGCCACCTACCCTCCACTCGGCCTCACCCTCTCTTTGCCGGCTTGCTCACGAGTTGGACGTTGAGTTTGCACAACCAGCTGGCCTGTTCGATGAATAATAGACTTTTTCCGTGTACCTGTTTCGCCCGATCCGGCTTCTCAGGTCACCCGCGCAAAGTTGGTGGCGAGCCCATCCGAGTGGGGGCCCTGTCGGCCGGAGGGCGTGTGAGGGTTGGGTTGGGTCGAGTCGGTTTTAGGGCCGGTCGAGTATGTCTGCGTCTAGACGTCGAGTGGCCAGAGTCGAACCGCCAATTCTGTCATTAAGGCGTGGGTCGAATAAACGGAATTGTCGCCCAGGTTGCCCGGTTCAGGACACCGGTCGGGGGGGTTTGTAGTCCGATGTGAGGTAGTTGTAGGCGGGTGGGGTGGGGATATTCAATATGCTCGGGGTCAAGCTGTGACCTGGGCATGCGGGCGTAATTTGTCGAGTGTGCAAGATGACTTTTGTTAGTCTTTTAGCTGGGCCGTGTGCTGCAGGGAGACAGAACGGATGATGGCAAAATAATGGGAAATAGGTCGACATGAAATGTATTAGGATAATGTGCCAATCTACGCCTTCGGAGGGCCGGTACAAGGGGATAGATGGGGTTGTGTGTACGGCGAA